ATTTTATATTCCAGAGTTTCTCTTCAACTGATGCCAGTACCATGTTTTACTTTGAGGTTTCACATCAGGTTTTCAGCAGCGACCAGTTGTTGTTATATTTCATGGCTCCTTACTTTTTTTATTTGTATGGATGTGGCACAGAAATATAACTGCTAACACAAGACCTGACAGCTTTGATATATGGGAGTTCGTGGGGCTTTAGAGTCACCGTGTCACTCACAATCTCACGGCAACAGTGAGAGCACGGAGGCCTAAATAACAGTGTGTCAAGCTCAGTGTGAAATCTTATCAAGGGCGTTCTACTCATATGCCACAGCAGTGCCAAAAAAGATGATTGATCCATCAAAAACTGAGGCTTTGTGTGCGATGCTGTACATTGTAGAGATGTTTGCAACTGTTGGACAAAAATGTAAGACAGGGCGAAGTTATCCTTCGAGGTTTTTTTACTTTTTTTGTTTGTTTGTCTACATTTTTGTCTTTGCCATGAAGTGATTCTCATTGTAATTGTTGCGCATTGTGATTCTTTGCCAAAACTGTTATGGCTTTCACTGTTAACCACTAAACAGACACATACATACACAGATATATATTCACAAACACTCCAGCTACTATACTAACCAGGCTTGGTTGGAGTTTACGGACCTTGACTGGTGTTTCTGTTGTTTTTTTGACAGTTGCTACAAAGCTTATCGTTTTTTTTTTCTGTACATATTTTCCCGCACGGCCACGCCAAAGCAAGTTTTAAGAACAGGAAACCGTTTCGAAATGAAGCTGAACTGCTTCAGTGGTGGTGACTTTTTGTACGAATCCAAAAAATGCCAGTGCATGTAGCAAAACCCCTTCTAAATCTGCTCGCAACCATCACGGATCACAAAATATCTATTTTTGTTTCTCAAAGTGTTGTGAGACATAATCCGCTGTTGCTACTTTGATAAACATACTGTGTGAAGTAGAAGGCTTATGTTGCACACTTGCATGCATTAAAACCAGTATCCAGTTTTCTAATATTTTGTATACAGTAACCTGCAGTATACAGTATGTATATAAAAGTAGCAGCAACTTATCAGTTATTATTATGGGATCCATGTTTTGATGGATGTTATACAGTATATTCTAGACATTTATTTCAAGAGGAAGATGTTCTTGTTCACTACCTCTAGTGATCAGCAAGAATACTTAGAGGAATCAAGGTAATTATTCACCCTATACCTAACCCAGAGAGAGTTGGCGCTATGCTACAGGTGAGATTTGGGGGAAATAAATGATGTTGGGAACAGCCTTCAACAGTGAAAGAGACATTCATTTTCTTCACTAGAGTTAGAAGAGAAGATCAACACTCTTGTGTCTGTACAGTAAATATGAAGACACCACCAGCAGACAGTTATCTAAGCTTAGCACAGAGACTGAAAACAGAGGTAAACAGCTAACAGGCTCTGTCTAAAGGTACAGCAGTCCCTCTAAAGCTCACTAATTAACACATTTAACTCCCTTTTTAAAATCTGTGCAACCCTTTGTTTCGGTTTTGGATTCAACAGATGAGATCCAACGTGTTAATTAGAGGGGCTAGAAGGTTGAGAGCCAGACTATCTGTGTCTCCCTTTTTACAGTCTTTGTGTTAGTTCGCTGGCGATGGCTACATGTTTAGTTCACAGACAGGAAAGTGATGTCAATCTTTCCTCCAACTGATCAACAAGAGAGTGAATCTTACCTCCGCCTTCTACTACAGATCATACAACTATGATAGCTTCACCTGAGACCACTTCTTCAGGTCAGGCTAGTAGTGGTAGTCGTTTAAGGTGTGACAGGCAATATATACGTCCCTAATCTCTATGAAAGGGGAACACACCTGCAGCATAGCGTTAACAAGGTATCATGGGACTAGGAATGCGACGGACTGATAATATGTGAGATTCAGAGCGCTGCAAAGAAATTATTTTGTGATTATTTAAGAGGCTTTTAACCCCCCGAGTTTATCACTTCTAGACGGAACAATGACGCGATCGCATCCTGCTGATCTTAAAGAAACTGCTGCATGTGTCTAATGTTACAAGACACTGGTGATGGAGCTCCAGAAAGAGTGCACGAGGTTACTACGTTCATCTCAATGACAGCATTTTGTAGGCTGTATTGAATCTGACGCCGCTGCACCAGGTCACCGGATACCTTCTGCATTCTTGTCATTGACATTTTTATCCGAGATCGAGTCTTGTCCACTCAAG